ATCCAAAAACCGAAATATCGAAAAATCAAAAAATCGAAGAGTCATAAAATCGAAAAATGGAAAAATTGGAGAAGCGAGAAATTGAAAAATCGAAAAATCCAAAAAATCAAAAATCGAAAAGTTGGAATTACAAAAATTGAGATATTGAAAAGTCGAAAAATGAAAAAAACAAATATTTCAAAATTAAAAAAATCGATGTAGAAAAATTTAAAAATCTAAAAATCAAAAATCGGAAATTTGAAATTACAAAAATTGAGACATCGAATAGTCGAAAAATGAAAAATTTCAAATATGTATTTCAAAATTGAAAAATCGAGAATTCGAAAAATCGGGACTTCGAATCTTAGAACATTTGAAATCTCGGAAAATCTATACCGAAAAGTCGAAAAATCCAGAAATCGAAAAGTCATAAAATCGAAAAATGGAAAAATTGAAGAACCGAGGAAACCCAAAAAATCAAAAAACTCAAATATTTCCAAACTGAAAAATCGAGAATTCGAAAAATCGGGACTTCGAATACAACATTTGAAACCACGGAAAGTCTATACAGAAAGGTCGAAAAATCAAGATATTCCAAAAATCGAGAAACTGAAAAATCGAAGAGAGCCGAGGAATTGAAAAATCGAAGTCAAAAAATCGAAGAACCCAAAAAATCGAAGTCGAAAATTTCAAAAAATCAAAAAGTTGAAATTACAAAAATTGGGATATGGAAAAGTCGAAAAATGAAAAAATTCAAATATTTCCAAATAGAAAAATCGAGAATTCGAAAAATCGGGATTTCGAATAGAACATTTGAAACCTTGGAAAGCCTACAAGGAAAAGTCGAAAAGTCAAGATATTCCAAAAATCGAGAAACTGAAAAATCGAAGTCGAAAAATCGAAAAATCAAGAATGGAAAAATTGGACAATCAAGGAATTGAAAAATCGAGAAAAACCAAAAAATCAAAAAGTTGAAATTACAAAAAATGAGATATCGAAAAATCGAGATTTCGAATAAAACAGTTGAAACCTCGGAAAGTCTACACCGAAAAGTCGAAAAATCAAGAAATTTCAAAATCGAGAATTTGAAAAATCGAAGTGGAAAAATCTAAAAATCGAAAAATCAAAAAATCTAAAAAGTCATAAAATCGAAAAAAGGAAAAACTGGAGAACCGAGGAATTGAAAAATCGAAAAATCCAAAAGTTGAAATTACAAAAATTGGGATATCGAAGTCGAAAAATTAAAAAATTCAAATCGGGACTTCGAACAGAACATTTGAAACCTGGGAAAATATATACCGAAAAGTCAAAAAATCAAGACATGTAATTCCAAAAATCGAAAAACTTTAAAATCGAACTCGAAAAATCCAAAATTCGAAATATCGACAATTCAAAAAACGACAAATCAAAAATCAAATAGGCATAAAAAAAAATCGAAAAATGGAAAAATTGGAGAATCGCGATTTTGAAACATTTGAAAATTGTAAAATCTAAAAATTCGAAAATTCCGAATTTGAAAATGACTTTTTTTTTAATATCGCAAATCTACTATGCAAAAACTTTTGAAATCACTTCTACAAGCGAAAATACAAATAGGTAATTTTTGAACGGTGCTCAGAAAACGGCCAAAAAATTCCAAAGAATCGAAAAATTGAGATTTTTTAAAAGTTGAGTAAAAATTCTCAAAATATTGTGCATTATTGGACGGGCTGATAAAAAAATATAACCCGTTAATGATAGATAGATTTTCGAAAAAACCGGTTTGAAAATGAATTTTTTTTTTAATATCTTGAAAATCCTCATTTTCCATTTTATGGATTCTGGAAAAATTGTTGGAATTTTCTGAGAAATGACTTCTGTAAGTCGAAATATATAAGAAAATGTCTACGTAATTTTCTAAAGGTGGTCCAAATATGGTCAAAAAATTCATATTGAAAAGTGAGTAAATATCCTCAAAAAATTCTGAGAAATATATTTCAACGAGCTGATTTGACAAATATAACGTGTTGATGATCCTGGACTAAGATTTTCGAAAAATTCTGTTTAAAAATTTATTTTTTAAGTCTCGAAAAAATATAAAATATTCCATTTTATCTCGATTCTCGGAAAACTGTTGAATTTTTCGAATCAATGAAGCCGAAAATTACTTCTATAAGTCGAAATATACAAAATAATTTTCTTTAGTTAAAAAATTCAACGAATCTAAAAATTGCGATTTTTGAAAAGTTAACTAGAAATTCTCAAAAAATTCTGGCAAGTACATTTCGACGAGCTAATTCGGAAAATATAACATGTTGATAGTAGAGAATTTTGAAAAATTCGGTTTGAAAATGATTTTGTTTTAATATCTTGCTAATCCTCATTTTCCATTTCATCGATTCTGGAAAAATTGGCGAAATTTTCCGAGAAATGGAGCCGAAAGTGACTTCTGTAAGTCGAAATATACAAGAAAATGTGTTTACGTAATTTTCGAAAGGTGCTCCAAATACGGTCAAAATATTCATATTGAAAAATTGAGATTTTACAAAAAGTTAGTTAAAAATCATCAAGAAATTCTGTTGATGGTCTTGGACTAAGATTTTTGAAAACTTCGGTTTGGAAATGATTTTTTTTAATATCTCGAAAATCCTCATTCACAGCATTTCCCATTTTAACTATGGTGAAATTTTCGAAGCAATGGAACCGAAAATCACTTCTACAAGTGGAAATCACAAAACAATGTCTTTAGACAATTTTCGACGGGTGTCAAAAAACGTCAAAAAATTTCAACGAATCTAAAAATTGACATTTTTGAAAAGTTGACTAAAAATATTCGAAAAATTCCGGCAAATACAAAAAATGTAAGCAAGATTTTCGAAAAATTCGGTTTGAAAATTATTTTTCTTTAATATCTCAAAAAAACTCATTTTCCATTTTATCAATCCTAAAAAAAATTATTGGAATTTTCAGAAAAATAACAGCCGAAAATGACTTCAGTCACTTGAAATGAGCAAAAAACGCCTTTAGCGAAAGGTGCTCCAAATACGTTAAAAAATTCCTTTAAAAATTTGAAATTTTCGAAACACATTTCGACGAGCTAATTCGAAATCATGTGCTTATGATCTCGGACAAAGATTTTCGAAAAAAGCGGTTTGAAAACGATTTTTTTTAATCTCGAAAATGACGTTTTCCATTTTATCGATTCTGGAAAAACTGTTAAAATTTTCGAAGCAGTGAAGCCGAAAATAACTGATAAAAGTCAAAATCTACAAAAAAGTTTTTAGATCAGTTTTGAAGGGTACTCAAAATGTTTTTTGAGTATGCACGTGCTCGCTGAGCGCGCATTCTAAGCGTTCTTGTTTCGTAGCTTACTGTCATCGAAGTGACCAGGAAAAATCCCAGCGAAACTGTCTAAGTTTTGTTGTTATAATAAATCTATGACTAATAAATGTGACAAGCTTAGCTTATTGTATGCATGACAACTTTACAATTGGTTTCAACGCCTGCTATCTGAAAAGGGGCACTATTGCCTTATTTTATTATTCTCCAATTACCTGAAGCACCTAAACCGCAAACGCAGTTAATCCTTTTACACTAAGCGACATTTTCCACTCGATTTACTTTAAAAAGGTGGAATTCGTTAATTTTAGGTGTTAGAACTTCCTTAAAACTGCCCTCCCCCACCACATTTTTTGTTTTTTGCTTCTCTAGTGTCATAGTTAAAATTAGCCCCACCATTTTATCGAGTAAGTGGATTATTAATGGTCATTATACCAGAATCCAATTACACAAAGAAAAAATTAGGCCCGCCCACCCACCCCTCCTCTCTTCTGGCGATTATTCCTTCCCAAGTGGGAAAGCTAAGGAATAAGGAAGTATTATTTCTCGACATTCCATGATCCCTAGAGTATGATACAATAGGTTCCCCGTTTCGTGGGTCTGTCTAATTTTGCATAGTATTTAAATGTTATAAAAGCGAATACTTAGAAATCTTGCAAACGATTTAATCTTATCGTAAAAGAAATAATAAAAGGAGAATCACAATATTATGAAGGTAGAGTTTAGCACAGTTATTATGTAATATTCTATCAGTCATTCACTCATATTTAATAAACATGCGTAAATCTAAGGTACTCATTAATTTCTAAGTTCTGCTCTGTCATTTGTTGCATGGCCAGTCCGACTCTGGTGAAGAACGCTTCTGTATAATTAAGAAAGTGTAAGTAAATGGCGATGTTTTGTCAACAAAAAATTGATTAATCGATTTTGGGTGCTTCTGAATAAAAATTTCTTTTCGAAACATGTCTCCCTGGACTCAATCTAATGCAAGCCAGTAAATTAATGAAACCGCGTTATCACCAGTCGTGATTATAGCGGCAATAAATATCAAAACTCCAGTTTCACTTCAGGTTCTGGAGGAAAACGCAGTGGAATCAACAATCACCGTTTCTCCCGGAGGAGAAAACAACAAACAAATCCGCCTCCATTTAAATCGGTCCATGTGATAGTTGACGTCGGATTAAAAGGACAACAAGCACCCACGTGACCTTGCCTCAGAAATTTTGCAAAACCAGCGCGATATCGCCAAGGCTATACTTTGACAACAAACAAAAAACCGTATCGTAGTTGGCGAATTATCAGATGAAAGGCGAGTGTTTTCTCTCGTTTGTAATCGTCTCGTTACAAGGGCAGCAAACAATAAACAAGATAAAAAAGGACGATTGATAAGCGGCGCTCGTGCGAGATTAAAAGTGCCGGGTGATTTTCGAAAAAAAAAAGGGAGACGATGGGGAGCAGTGCGTCTAGCAGGCCGCGGTTTCCAAAAACACGCAAATCTGACATAACAGGCACAGCCGACTCCGCGATTACGCATACTCGAGAAAACGCATGCATGCGTAGCCTTGCGTGGGGATACCGCGCCAGAATGCACTTATTCAAATCTGAAGCGGCCTTAACGCGATTAGAGAAAGCTGGCGAGGAAAAGCGCAGAAGGAAATGTAGGGCAGGCGCCGACCGGGCCTTCTAGGGCGCCTAGGCCTTACCTGCTCACCCTCGGACCTCCAGCTGGCACAAATCAACATGAAACAGGCACAACGCACACGCCGAGAAACGAGAACAGGGCGACCGTGGAAAACGGACTGTGCGATTAGAAGAGACAGGCTCACTATTTTGTTGTGGATCAAATTCGTTTCTCTCCTCTCATCTCTTCGCTCTCTCTTTCAACTTTTCACCATTCTCTCTCTCTTGTGGCCGCTTCGGCGGCGATCCGAACGGGCCTGCACGCAACGTTTGCGCCAAGCTCGCCCTTCTCCCTCCGAGACCGCGAAAGCTTGCGCCGCCATTGGCCGCCGGCCCGGCGTTGCTGCGCACGTGACCACCACGCAACGCTCTGACGTCACACCCGCTTCGCCCGGTCCCTCACGCCAGCACCGCCGGCGGCCCGAGCGCTTGGGCCTGGCCGGCCGCTTTCAGTCGGATGAAGCCATTACAACCTGAAACAGTGTTTGATGTCGTCTCTGTAACAAAGTCAAACAAGTGAAGAAACCCAATTGTGATATAGTGATAAGTGTGCCAAAACAGGTATTTACAACGGCGAACAGCGTTTCAAGCTTTTTTGAACGGGGAAAATCGCGATTTTCCGACTTTGAGCGCGCTCGAAAAACGGGGCAGGGAAGCTTTGTCCGACACCACGCAAGCTTTTTGTTGTTATTTACGTTCCGCGAAAGCTCAAAGCTTGGGGAACGCTGGGAAATGGCGTCGCGGCGGCTTTTTGCGGCGTTCGGGCGAGATTTTCGAAGGGAAAGAATTTTTTAACGGATTTTTCTGAAATTGTCGCCATTTTTCCAGCTTGCTTCGGAAAAGCGGCCATTGTTGGACCAGCCAACGCTTCGCTTTCCCTTCCCCCACCACTGATGACGTGTGCTTCCGTTAAGCTTCGTGACGCGTCCTCGTTCTCAAAGTTCGAATTTTCAAAGATTTTCACCAATTTCGAAATTTTCACCGGTCAAGAAAAACCGAGAGACGTACACGCGGTGGCGATAAATACGCATCTCGCGTAAAACATTTTCCAAGTTTGATTTTTTTTCGCGAAAAATTCTACCATTTTGTTAGTGCGTACTGCCGATATTACAGGTCGCTAACCTTTCGGTAATTAGGAAACGCGAATTGTTTGTAAACTCGTGTTATGCGAACTCGTGTACTTACTCAAGTTTTCCAACAATTTTGACATTGATTTTTTTTTACAGAACGAACAATGGAAGATGACCAACAGTTTTGTCTAAGGTGGAACAATCATCAATCCACACTCGTGGCAGTCTTCGACACACTGTTGGAAAACGGAACCTTAGTAGATTGCACATTGGCAGCAGAGGGCAAATGTTTAAACGCCCACAAAGTTGTACTCTCAGCATGTAGTCCATTTTTCGAGGTTTGTATACTTTTCTATATTTTCCACCATGTATACATGATCGTGCCGCATTATATAATTTTGAAAGTCGTATTTGCTAATCTTTACTTGAGCATTTTCTGGAGATGTTATGAAATGCAAAAATACGTAATTTTCGTGATGACTATAAGTTGATTTTTTTTTTTTATAAAATACAGTCATGATCTATTTTTTTGTATGAAACATTTGGCTCATTAAAATCTTTCAAACCTGTTTGAGCACGTTTTTGTTGAAGTTGTTCGTGTTCGTTTCTGATTAGTTGTTTTTTTGCAGTCGTTGCTGTCGCGGCATTACGACAAGCACCCTATCCTTATATTGAAGGATGTAAAGTTCCAAGAACTGAAGGCGATGATGGACTACATGTACAGAGGTGAAGTGAACATATCGCAGGACCAATTGGGCGCGCTGCTTAAAGCGGCCGAGTCACTCCAGATCAAAGGCTTATCTGACAACAGAAAGGGGGGAGAGACTGACAGAAAGCCGGCGGCGCCCCCGCCGGCGCCCTCCAAAAGCCCACAACCGACTTCCCTACCAAAAGTACAAGGCCTAACAATAGAACAGCGAAACAGAGACGACAGCAGGGAAGGGTCGCAGTCGCCGGGACCCCGAAAGAAAAAAAGGATACGGCGTAAAAGCGAAGAGTTAGATAATCACCATGACGCTTCAAACTCATCTGAATCTCATAGTAATCAAACACCCGCCCAAAACATTCCCACGATGTTACCTGCCTCGAAAATAATCGCCGACGTGCCTGAACCCGTAGAAACCAAATCTGAAATACTGACGAGGCATAAACAGTCCGACGATGTCCCCCAAGTTCCTATAATAAAAGAAAAAATAGAAACACATACAGAACTGATGCTTGAACCAAAGTCTGAGTATGTCGAAGAGATGAATGAGGACAGTATTGAGGATTTGACGTTGGACGACGACGATATTAGCAATATGGAATCGATGGACGACGGAGCTGGGCCTAGTCACGGCAATGCGGGTGAAGGATCGAGTCAAGGTAATTAGAATTTGCGAAAAAAGGGCAGGGACGTCGCCAGAGCTTCGCGCCGAATTTATCGTCGGTAGTTTTTGTCGTAAACGAGGCGGCGACGTGCCTGCCGGGATTTCCTCTTGCGAAGATATTGTTTGGTGGAAATGACGGAGTTGGTTGTTTTAGATAAGCGCCGGCGCGACTCCAAACCACCAGACAATATCTGTCCTGACTTAACTTGGGCAGAATTCGAGATTGAACCTTTAGCCAACAAGCTGGAAGGGAGCATTCGCAAGTACTCGAGGCACTCGGTGCACAAGGCGCTCGATGCCATCCTAAACCGCGGCGAGACGGTCACGCAAGCTTCGATCGATTTCGGAATTAAGCGCACGAGCTTGCAACACTATCTCAAAAAGCTTAACATCAAAATTAAGTCTTCTTTCCATTAATCAAGCCATTTTTTCATTTTGTACATTTTTTAAGTTCGATTATGCTCAAGTGATGTAATATGAGTAAAGAGTTTCGTTTCATTTTATTTCACGGCTTTTTTTTCGGGTTAATTGCAGGTTTCGGTGGTTGGCATATGGGTAACCAAAGTCAAGATGAAGTATTTTTGGCCGCTCAAGAGGCCGTTGGGGCTCATCGTGATTCACAAGGTAAGATTTACGATTCGATTATTACGACTTTTCCACGGATTCGTACGAACATGGGCCGAGTGTTTTTGTCGAGGTTTCATTGAACGTGCGCATGTTGCTGCGAAGAAGTGGGGAAGTTTAAATGCTCGCAATTGCTATAGCAAAATTAACACCCTGAGTTTCAGTCTCTGAAGTTTTGAGTTTTTTAGTGGTACTTAGTGATTCGTTGCTTTCCTATCCCATAGCTTTTGTTTATATGTAGTGCTAGTAGTTTATTTTTATTTAATATCAATCCTTCTCCCTCTGCAAGAAGACACTTTTGACAAATTTTCGCGTTTCAACTCGTTTTTGTCACGCTACGAATTTATATTTTTCGTCGTCGACGTTCAATTTTTTTTTTTAAACGTCCGCAAGACTCGCCGCTGGATCTTCGGTTGTAACTCCAAGGTAAGAGAAGGGAGAAGGGTTCCAAATCAAAATGTTTCCACTATAATTCACGTAGACACTTGCATCCGAATTCGGTAAACATTTTGGTTTTCAATCGGAGACTGTTACGTCTCGGTGTCTTTATTTAACATTAAACACTCCTGCTTGTTTTTTGTTTTTATTTTCTTTCACCAGACGATTTTGCTATTCAATTGCGAGTATAATTTGTTGGGTTTTGTGATATCTGGCACTAGATATACACGGCTGTTTTAAGTTTCAATTGTAAATATAGAGTTGTGTATTACTGGTGTCGGTAGTTATTATATTGTTGGCCTTCTATCTCATGTATCTTTCTCAAACTATCGGTCTAACATTTATACTGTATTTATCATGTGCATGCTTCCATTTACTTTGTATAAACACTGTGACGGACTAAATTTAGTGCCGTCGCGTAAGCGCCGGGCATTGGTAGTTTTTCAAAAACTAAAAAATGCCAACGTGACACAAGTTCGACTTGGGTTGGTCGCATTTTGTGGCTTAGCTAAGTCGAAATTGTGGGTGTTTTTAAGCGCTTTGTGAGTGCGCGATTTAAGTTGGATAAGGTTTCTATCCAACGGTTTTCGAGTGGTGCAGGTGTCTTTTTAGCAATTTATTTTATAGGTATTTTTTGCTTATAAAATTTGCTTTTGATTTTCATTTGAAACGTGGCGCGGTTTTGAGCAGATTTTTCTGTCGGTTGTAGGTTTGTAGTTGTACGGAATTTCGTGCAACGAGGTAAAAATTTGGTTTTCTAATGGTAAGAGCTTCACATGTTTGTGTGCAGCAAAGGGTAAGATTTTTTTGGACTTTTTTTTTTTTGTTTGTGCGGTTTCGACGAGTAACAATTTTGTTATTTTCGTCAGATTAATGCGCGATTAATTGTAACGAATATTGGTAAGTATGTTGCGAGGGTGTGTGTATCAGAGAGAGAGAGAGAGAGAGATGTTTGTCGATTTTTCCCTTTTAGTGAATTTTTATTTACAGGAAATTGATATCAGTTACACATTATTTTTGTTGTAACTGATTTGGCACAGGTAAATTGGTAGGTTTTTCGTGTTTCGTTGTGTATTTCAAGATTATTTCTCTTGAAGTACTTTTTCAACTGTTTTTTTTTTTTTTTTTTCTTTCAGCAGTGTGTGCGTTTAGTTTTAATCAGTATGTCATTAATTTATGGCAAACTGGTCGCTCGGTCGCATTACTTCTGTTTTGTACAATGTAGTTGCATTTTTGCGACGAGGTATTTGTTCTAATGCTTTTTTCCAGCGAACGAAGAAACTTGAATTTTACCGTTGGTATCAACGAAACGAAGATCTTCCGATTTGGTGGGTATCATTTTATTTCGTTTGTTTTAGTTTGTTGCGTTTGTAGTGTGTGGAAAGTTTGTATGGAATAGAGGGCCAACGCTTGTTGTGTGCTTTTTATTTTCAAGTGTCTGAGTTCCTTTTTTCGTAGTTTCGTGAGCGGGCTTCTTGTTCCGTAGCTTCGTTTACAAGTTGCGTAACAAGTTGTATTGGATGCTTGAAAATTCAATGCCACGTGGTGTTGTCTCCTTACATAGTCTGTGTGAACGAATGAATGATTTGTTACAGCCATTAGTTCGCCTTTCACGTGCCAACGCTGTGGTCGCTTGTACTCTGTTCAATACACTCTTGAACGCCATCTGAGATACGAGTGTGGTGTAGCTAAGCAGTTCTATTGTGGAGTTTGTTTGAGAAGATTCTCCCGTAGGGATATACTCAGGAGCCACGAAAAAAAATTTAAGCATGGCGTGGCCTAACAATAAGCTGACAAAAAAAATAAGCTAGTCATAAAATGTAGATAAATGCAATAAAAAAGTACAATTAAGAGACTGACAATAGTTTGCGGGTTCGAAAAGGTTGGTGAGATGTGGTGTCTGCAGCATTTCATTTCTCCAATCGTTTCGAATTCGCCGGAGAAGGGTGATGGGGCTTTTAACAAAATTATCGCTATCAATGTTACTACCTCTTCGTCTGGGACGTAGGAAGCTCTGCCGTTACTTTTGGAGTGGTTTGTCCTTCGTGCGGCCGAAGATACAAGTACCGATCTGGACTGCTTCGTCATCTCCCGGACTGCTGTTGAACCCTATTTCCTTCCCTTGCTCATAAATAATGCAGTACTGCTTTCCCTTTCCATTAGCTAGCTTGACGACTTGGATCTGGACGCTTCAATCTTACCAAAGTAAGTTTTTTGTTTTAATTTCGGTACAGTCAATTTCATGCATGCATTTGAAAAAATCATTGGAGTTCGATCAAGTGTAAAAAAAAAACAACCATTCGTTGAAGACAAGACAGAAAACTAACAAGTTTTTCTGTTGTTTCAGTACTAACCGTGGATAGTCCCGAGGTCCCGGTCCATCCAGTACTCCGATACATGCAATATTTTCATCCATACCTTTGTAGTTAGTTTTGAATAAACGGTTTGAAAAGAGCGTCTTGGTTTACTTTCGTAAACGTAGCACCCTCACCCTATTTGATTTTGGGCCAACGTATCGAAATTTAGGCGTCGTCAGTGTGAATAGAAAACGCTAGTACAGCAGTGTTTATTTCCAGGAAGGAGGTGGTATCTGCAGCAAATAGATCCCGAAACTGCAGGTGGGTTCCCGTGCGAAAACTGCGGTAAAGTCTACAAGCACCGAGGCAACATGCGCAGACATATGGTATATGAGTGTGGAAAGCAGGCACGATTCCAGTGCTCTTTTTGTAGTCGAAAATTCCACCAACAGTCTAATCTAAAGAGACATTTTGAAAATAAACACTGCATGCCAAAGTTCAGCAAAAGCATTACCATATACAGAACTAGGGTTGTTAAGTAAAAGAAAAGACGCGAGTACGTGTGCCAAGTTAGGGTTAAGTCTTCTCGAGTCAGTGTACGAGTAATTTAAGTCAAATTCATTAGAGTATACGCTTAGGTTTATTTTTTCAAAATTGGTTGTTGGAAGGTAGATCTGGGGAGCTGCGACAATCGTCCAGACGACGCGGGGTTAAATCGACAAGTGGAAGCGTCGTCTGGAAGGGTTGTTCAGTTATTGGCACGATTGGGGAGGTTTTTACGAGTCGTTTGAACAAGTAGCATTTACCAAAGTTACCGAAGATACTTTACTGCCATTTTTACATTTGGATCTCGAATCTAGTCAGAAGTAATTTTGTGCTATATTTCAAGTATTTAATCTTTATTTATTTATTACTATACTAGAAACTGTGCCATATTTTTATTTTGTAACGTAAGAGTTTGCAAGGACTGTAAATAACTTCGTATTAAGTTTCAAATTCGATAGAATTAAGTCCATGTATTACCAAAAATAAATCATTAATCGTAAGCAACATCTATTTTATTTGAAAGGTAAGGAGGTTCTTGCGGTGATGGGAGCTGCAGTGGCCGTATGGTGGAAGATGAAAATTTATATAGCAGAAACGTTTCAAATGTTTTATAGTTACAAACCGAGATTAAACGTACTAGTTTCTGAAACATTTAAAACGTTTCTGCTTGCATTAGTTTACAGAGAATGAGTAGCGTTCGTCTGAAAACGTAGTTGTAAATGGAAGCGTAGCACTTTTATTTTCACAAAATTAACCTTTTTTTCTTGTTTTTTTGTTATTTTTGCCTAATCAGTCAAAAGGGTTAACTTTGATAGCTTTGTTCATGTAACATTAAGACAGTAATTTCATATTTTTTTCATTTCGTATTTATTGGAAGTTTTTAGTCGTTTGGACCAACGTTGACGCTTTTTGAAAATGTATATGTATCCGTTGGTCCTTCATAAATGCGCAAATTTGCGACAAAAATGTAACCCGACATTCTTGTCTCTATAAGTACACAATTCTGTGGTAAAAAAGTTCGCTAGTTTATCGACGGATAAGTTTTTCTGTATTGAAATCGTTAAAACTTGTTGAGAGAACAAATTTGATTTCTGACCACAGAGTGCAAAACTGAGTCACTTCTAGCACGAACGACAGTTTTCGTAAGACGCAGATTTTTATTTTAAGAACCTCAGGAGTAGTTTGTTCTTAATTTAGTAACTGAAAGTTAAAAAAGTGACTCTTGGATCTGGTATTCACTCCGACTAGAGCACTAAGTACTAACGTAAATATTACGGGATTTGTTGACATTTCTAAGTAAAGAACGCTCACACAGTTTTTAAAGGCGTTCATTGTAACGATCGTCGTAAAATTTAAGAAATCATGTTGTTTTAGTCCTTTGGTGCTTTAGTCGGACCCACCAAATCGCTTGAAAGGCTTCAAACATGTATTTCCGTTAAAAAGTCAAAGGAACTTAAAAAAAAAAAAAACAAAAGCGCTTGTGTTAAGTCAGCTTAAACTAATTCCAAGGCGTAGTCGATGATCTGTCTCCCTCTCGTTGCTCTTCTGTCTCAGTTTCCTATTCCAAAGCAAAACAGAGCGAACAAATGTGGAACGAGTACGATCTATTCATTAACCCGAGGTGAGTATCCCTCAATTACCCTGGGAAAATAACGTAATCTCAGTTGTGTATCTTGAGAGACGGTAACTCCCCTCAGACTTAAGTTCTCCTCTAACACCCGTTTCTTTTATAGAAGAGGAAAACGCCGAGAAGTATATACGCTATTTGCTGAGCGTCTGTGAGAGCGGCGTCAACGAAAAGCCCCACCAGTGTAGCCGATGCTTGAAACGTTACAAACACAAACATATCCTGCGCCGCCACGTCCAATTCGAATGTGGTGTAGAACCCAAATTTGCATGCTCTATTTGTGGCCACAAGTTCAAAAGAAAATACGATTTAACCTTGCACTTAAAGCTAAAACACAAGATGGTCTAATTTTGTATTTCCCTTTTCGTTCCAAATAAAGTACGCAGTAATTTTTCTTTCTTTCTTTCGAGTAAGTCCGGCATTCAGCGACCACTCAACCAACAGCTCTGTCTTGTTGCAGTGACGACGCAAACGGGGCACACTTGTCCAGGCTGCGGAAAAACCTATAAGCACAACTCTAGCCTAAAAAGCCACCAGAAATTCGAATGTGGGAAAGCAAGAATGTTCACATGCCATTTATGTAGCTCGTCGTTCTGGCGAAAGCAGTCTTTGCAAAAGCACATAATGTTTAATAGATGTTCAAAATTAAAAACTTATCCATGAAATCGTGCTTTTTACTTCTCTGAAAACGCAGCGGGAGTATATTTTAATTGGAGTTTTCTATTTCAGTGAATTGGTTTGCGTTAATGCATCAAAGGTTTACTTGCGATAGATGTGGTCGATCGTACAAACACAAAAGTAACCTGTCCAATCATAAAAGGGAAGAGTGCGGAAAGCCACCCTCGTATTTTTGCCCTATTTGCAGTAAAGGGTTCAAGAAGAAGCAACACATGCAGAGACACTTGACCGTTCATAGCAATAGTAGTTTACCGCCGTCGCTCGTTCCGAACAGTCCTTTAGGGTTAGACCAAAAAGTCTTTGGATACCCGTTGCCGCAAGTGGTCATGGGAGGCGAAAATCAGATGAGTAGAGAGATCAAAGAGTCGCTAGAGGCAACGTTCAAACTGTTTAACCCTCCTCCTGCGCCTCCCGCGCCGCCTGGAAACTCTAGTTTATAAGTCGATATTAAGATCTCAGTCCTGCCCGATCAAGTACATTGTATATAGTAAAGGACAACAACAAGTGTTTCTGTCGGTCCGAAGGTTTCACCACTAGTTTTGAGGTCGATCGATACCGTTTATTGATTTTCTGTGGGACCTTCGAGCCTACAATTCCGTTGCAATGTTAGTACTGTTAGTGATATGCGACGAGAAACTGTTACGACAGTCGCGCTTGAACACCCTCTGTAACTTAAGTGCAATTTGACTTTGCGTGGTGAGCGGAACTTGTTTTTTGCGTGTTCCACCTCCCGGATTCCAGGTTCCGCCCGCTTCGCAAGCGTGTTCTTTGTATTTTACGCAAGAATCAAACTAATACACGAATACGACTACCTCCGAGTGGCCATTATTTTCCCTTCCCGTAGTTGAGTGTTAGCTTGTTTTGATTAATTTGATTTAGCTTGTTTTTATTTTAGGTTGCCCTTTTTGTTGTTTTGAAGCTTAGTAGAGAGATCCTGCCCGAGTTAGTTCAGTGTTGCTCCCTCTCGCTCAACCCCTTGATACATTAATATGTTTTGTGTTACAGGAATCATATTTTACGCGTCTAATTTTGACGACTACAGAAATTTGAAAGTGTACAACCACGGTGTTAGGTACGGTTGTGCAAGATGCAGAAAGACGTACTTGCAAAAGAAGACGCTCGGACGCCATTTGCGCTTTGACTGCGGTCAGAGTCCGTCGTTTACGTGTCAGCTGTGCTCGAAAAAGTTCAAGCATGGCTATATTCTGTTAAAGCACATGCGACTAACTCACGAGATCTTCATCCAGAAACTGCGAAAGAGGCAAAAGCCGATCAAGTAAAACGTATTCTAGTCAGATATAGGGTCATTCCAGTCGTAGCTAAGTGCCATGTGCCTCGATTTTGCCATTTGAGTACCTCCTCGAATAACGCATGCGGGTTGGATTTTATCTGGTACTCCTATTCTGCGAAGAGTGGTTTGGGCAAAATTGAGTACCTCAACAAGTACAAGCGAATCTCTCTCCGACGATATTAATATTGTTCTAGTCTAGGCTCCAAATTGTGTGGCTGTAAACCAAAAGTTTGTAGGAACGAACCGAATTTTTTTCATCTTGAAATTTTGCCAGTTAAACCATGTATATAGGTGTAAGTGTAAGAAGTAGGATATCAGATAAAAAGACATCCATTTGTGTAGCTACTTAAAATCTAGTCATATACAATTTTGTCTTTGTTAGTTTTTACCGAGTGCCATTTAGTTTTTAGTATTTATTTAATTTATTATACCAGTGATATTACCAGTTGTAGTTACCGTTACAGTACTACCAAAGTCACAAGCAACGACTATAAGATCCTCTTTTTCAGTATTTTTACTGACCTTTTTTTTTTTAAGGCCATCGCCTGTACTCTACGCTACCAGTATTTTGTTTTAGTTACTTAAGAATTGTCTTAAAACCTGATTTTTTCGTAGTTTTAGCTATTTAAAATTGTAATGTTGTAACCGTCAAATGTAATAAATTCGCATAAGCAACTCGTGTTTTTGTTCGCTTGGTTGTTCGATGTCCCGAACCATTTGTAGCCCGAGGGTAACACTACTTGTATTGTTTTAGAACTACATTATTGTCACTGCGGACGTTATTACCGGCAAATCTACACCCTAAAACGTCACCAAAGATACGAGTGTGGGAAATTTCCAGAGTTTCAGTGTGACTTGTGCCTGTCGAGGTTCAAGCACAACTTCGACCTAGTCCGCCATGTCCGAACTAAACACAATAAACTCAGACTTACGATTTAGTCTCTTGTTTCATTCCCAGACGTCTCGATATTGACTAGACCATGCTTGCAGGTGCTTCAAATTACTTTAGACTGACCCCGAAGGACGAATTTCGCAACTTCGACTTATCTCTAGACAGTAAAAAGTTTTTTCCTTGCCCCAATTGTCCTAAAGTGTACCAAGGAAAATACACCCTGTCTAGACACCTGAGGGTGGAATGCGGCAAAGTTCCGACGAACAAGTGCCAGTTTTGTGGCCAGTTGTTCACCTACAAGCATAGATTACTCAGCCACTTGAGGTCGATACACGCGAACTTCAAACCGTACATGTACTTTTCTAGTCGCAAATAAACGAGTTAGAAGAAACGAATTTTATTTCCATAGTAGTACCCGTAGACGTCAACTGAACCCGTTGTGACTTGAGCGATGTTTTAGGTAAAGTCAAGTGGGGCAGAAACTTGAAACACCCTCCTTGCCAGTATACTAAGTTTAAGTGTCCTCGATGTTGTAAAATTTACCACCACAAAAAAACCCTGAGTCGACATTTGCGCCAAGAGTGTGGCCTCGAGCCCGTGCTACAGTGCCCACACTGTCCATACAGAGCGCGCAGAGCCTACGTTTTGGCCTCCCACGTCAAGAACCACGTTTTCGTCTATCAGACCGTCATAAACTAGCTTAGTCGTTTTCTGTGCCATGTATAACTAGTACTAGTCTCTGTGCCATACCTTGTAAGCGTTACGATTAAAGTCATCACATCCAGACGGACTTTTACTTTCACTTCTTCCATCAGTGTCTCGTAGTGTAGACTCTCAAAGCAACCATCTTCAACTGGCTTCACTTTCAGGGTTAATCGAGGATACTACTCCCCTCTTGTCAAATTCTCTAGATCTTCAGGAAACCCTAGTCGAGGAGATCCCGTCGTGGACCATTCAGGTGATCTATCCCGAAGAACGAAACGCTGACATTATCACAGACACTGACACGTTAATCGCGATCGAAGAGCCCATCGTCGAAGAACCGGTACCGCTGGAGCCCGCCGGCGAAGTCAAAGAGAAACCCAAGAAAACCGGCCGCGATAATCTACCCTACGCGGATTGTCTGACCCCGAAAGGGTACGCCTGTCCCAACTGCCAAAAAATCTACAACGCCCGGAAGAACTTGGCCCGGCACATCAACTCGGAGTGCGGCAAGGAACCGCAGTACTCGTGCCCGTACTGCGACTATCGCAACTACCGACGCAACGAGATCAAAAAGCACGCCAAAAACAGGCATCACCTGTCGATTACTTAAGTCGCTTGTTAGAGTGGCGATAGGGTAGGATGTGTCAGTATAAGCTTGTTATTGTTGTAATATACGTTGACAATCTCTACTGCTTCCAAAAAGTGTAGACTAGCTAGAACGAGTACCGTTAGATAGTATTGTCAGACTGCCATTCCATTTCGATTTGTTTCGCATTTGTGGATAGAAACAACTACCTCCCTCTATTTTTGTAGAGAGCGTATTTTGTAATGTGTGTGAAATAAAGGAGTCGATGTCAAGAGTGTTTTTGTTGCTTCGGGGCTTGGGTGCGATGCTGCGAACAGGCGATAACGGAACGTTTTGTTGCAGGGGTTTTTTTCAAAGTCACTTGTCCACAATGTGGCAAACATTACTGTGCTAATAGCTCGCTCAGGAGACACTTAAAGTACGAGTGCCACAAAGACCCGAGGTACCGTTGTCCGTGGTGCTCTAAGCGGACGCACCTCAAAAGCAACATGTTGCAACACATACGGTTAGTCCACCACTTGGACACTAACGAGTTAGACACGAAGATGCTCGAAGAGACAGGAAAAAGCGACGATACCAAATAACGCTGTGTCTTGTGTGCTTTAAAAAATAAATTTTTACTCGATTTACTTGAGTTTGTTTGTTGCCTTTAGTCGTAAGGTGCGCAACGTAAGTATCCCGCCGAGGTCTTTAGCCTCTCCGTAATAATACTGTTTTCTTCTTGTAGAGGCCCGGCACGTGTGTTCGAGGTGTGGACGCAAATACACCCGAAAGACCAACTTGTTCCGACACATAAAGGTGGAGTGTGGGAAGCGGCCCCTCTTTAAATGCCCGTTTTGCGCCGCCGAGTTCAAATACAAGCACGTTTTGCAAAGACACATTCTGTCGTCCCGACACAATTCTCAATAAAGACGTACAAAGCCCACGATTTTTGATTTAGCGGTTGACCCTAGCCACGTCCGAACCGACCCGCGCTCATTCTTCTGTTTTTCAGTTTATGCTTGTACCCTGTGCGGCAAGGAGTACAAACATCAGGCCTCGTTGTACAACCACCGCAAGTACACCTGCAACAAAGACCCCAAGTTCTTCTGCAACGCGTGCTCCTTCTCCACCAAGTACTCGCACGTGCTCAGGAAGCACCTCGTGCTGAAGCACAGCGTTGTCGCGAACGGCCCGGACATGGTCCACTACACCCATGTACTTAAACAATAAATAGTTGCTGGTCGTAGCTTGTTTTATTTTGTAACAGTTGAGTACGCTAACCTGTAGGGAGTACTGCTAGGTTAGGTGGTGTCGTACCGGTTCTAACACGTCTTGTTTACAGGCTTGCCGATGAAAATTGAGTTGAAAGAGGAGGATCAGGCCGTAAGTTTACTAAACCCGTGGTTTATGTGGTCGGAGGACGATAAAAAGCCGAAAAGGAAGTCGACTCCGTCCAGTAATCGTATTCGCGGCAACTTCGCTTGCGAGCAGTGCGGCCGCAGCTACATTCGCAAGGACTCGCTGCAGCGGCACCTGACGTACGAGTGCGGCAAAGAGCCGCAGTTTCAGTGCCCCTTTTGCCCGCAGAAGTGCAAGCGGAAAGCGCACAGGATCAGGCACATAACGCGGGCGCACAAAGACAAAATCGGAATTCTGGAGGAGAACAATCCCGACCTAAAGCTCATACGCAGCGAGCAGGCATTGAAGTAACGAAGGCGGGCGACGCGCCGTCGTCACTTCTTCGCCCTGCGTAGTTTATAACTTATTTTGTTTCTTTGAGTTTGTGTTTAACCTTTAAGTTAGGACGCGCCGAGTGGTGCCTTGCTTGTTTAGGGCGGCGTTTAGCATAATCCTCGTTAATACGGTGTATACAGTTATTTCGCTTAAGTTAAGTATTAATCGTAGTTTTGTTTATTTGATTTTGTACGAGACCGACCGGACAGAAGATATTACTTACACCATGTCAGCTAGTCTAATATTTTTACATCACCCCCAATAATAGTATTATATTTTTTGTAAAGGCCTTGTATATGGTGGCGGTATGAGCTTTTGAAATATAAGGTTACACGTTACGTTGTTTGTTTTCACGTCTTCCTTGTTCTTCTTCTTCTTTTTTTTTTTTTTGTAAATAACTCCTCCTCGCGCGCTCTGTGTGTTTTGTGCTAACATTTGTTTCTTTTCCAGCCCAAGACTTGCGTGTTTCTCGCCCGTGGGAGCGCTGGCCCTCTCATCTTGCCTTGCCTATGATGCTGATGCGCGAAAGCATGAAAAAGTCGATGATTCAGTCTGTGACGAATCGATCGTCGCTCGATCTCAGCACGTCTTCTCCTAAGTCTCGGAATCGGACTAGTTTAGATGGTACCGGGTTCGATTGCTCAGTTTGCGGTAGAATTTATAAGTTGAAAAGTTCGTTGCGGAACCACCAGAAGTGGGAGTGCGGCAAGGAGCCCCAATTCAAGTGCCCCTATTGCGTTTACAAGGCCAAGCAGAAGATGCACATGGCCAGGCACATGGAACGCATGCACAGAGAGATTGATTACTCGTCGGTGAAGACGGAGATCGTCGCTGTGAAGAACGAGAGCGGCGACAACGAATGATAAAGACAGTCATCAAGCCCCAGTTACTACACCATAGACATACGCGCCATGTTTTGTTAACTAAAATACTCCTCAACACGTTCCTAAATCGTACATAGAACAGAACTCTTTCACTATGCTGCCTTAGGCCTTGGACGAGGTCGAACGTTTTGTGATACTTGAAAAATCCGACAATATTCAAGACTGCCCACACATCACTCTTTTTGTTTGTTTTTTTTTTTTTTGGATGTTTTTAACCGTTCCTAGCAATTTTGGTTTTGATGATATCGGCGATTTTATACTACTATACATTAGTATTTTGTAACTTTTTGTGAAAAAGAATATTTATATGTGATAAAAATGATAAAATATGCTCTTTATGATGATATTTTTATGTGAATAGTTTACCTAAATGAAGTGCCTCACATAGTTAATGTTCCTTGAAGCGTATCTCTAGATATAAGTTACCTTTTATCCTTTTTACACAGTTTTGTGAAATATTTTTATATATTACGATCAAGTTGTTGTTTACTACGTATTGCTTTTAAGGTTATTTGTTTAGTTAGGTGCTTTGCGTTATTTTAGCCAGGTGCATTAGGAGAGTGACGACCCGTCCGGACAAACTTGTAAAGATCAATCCTAGTCCGGTCGGGCGCCATCTCCGCTTGTCGATCCTTAGGTCCTATCAAATTCGCTTTTTACTTTAAGGCAGCTTGTATTATAAAAATGATATAATTTTGAAAAAAACATATTTTGTATATTTTGATTAAAAACATGCTTTATTATCGATAAGGTAGTAGTCTTAAGTAAATTTATTTAATTTTATGCGTATCAAAGGTGACGGGATATATTTTTTCAGAAGAAGTACTATACAACAAAATATGCCCAAGCCGACTATTACTATAATACTCAACAGAAAAATGTGATTTTTTACCATTATTGTAATAGTTTATAGTTCCTTACACTGTCACATATCAATAATTTTGTCCTTAAACCAGAATTGTTAATTTTCCTATCATTTTTTTTTTGCTTTTTTGTTTGTTTTATTTTTACTTATACATTGCTTTTAGGTAGCGGTAGACATTACAATAAAGATTTCAAATAAACTTTTTTTATTTGAGCTGTGACCGTGTTGTCCATTCCAATAAATTTTACAAAAAAAAAAATCGTGTCTGTCTAGTTTTCCTTTGAACATTCGCACTTGTGTTGTCCAATCAATAACTTTTGCTGTTTTAGGCCGTTACTACCAATGCCCCGACTGCCTCAAGCTGTACAACCGCCTTAACAACCTCAACCGACACCGCAAATACGAATGCAAGAAACAAAGAACTTTTTACTGCCCGTACTGCACGTACGCCGGCTTCCGAAACACCCATGTCAAAGCTCACATCGAAAAGAAACACGGAAATAAAACCAACCTTCTCTTCTATTTCGTTTTACTTTCTTTCCACTTGCTTTAACCGCACTGTTTTAGGTCGTTAGAACCGAACCGTCACACTCTTGTCGATCTCTTACTGACTGCTTGTTTTTCTTCTAGATTACAAAAGCGACTATCAGTGCGACTATTGTGGCAAGACTTACCAGCACCGCTCCAACTTGTTCCGACATGTCAGATATTACTGTCGGAAAGAAAAGTCTTTCGTGTGTCCATACTGTTCGTACGCCGGCTTCCAAAAAGCCCATTTGCTGTCTCACATGTCCCGGAGGCACCGAACCGAACTGTTTTTGACGAATTCGCAGAAATAAACACGTTGAGTGCAAACCTGTCTCTCATTTGCGCCCCCTCTGTCCGCAGTCAGCCTGGATTCTGAAGTAGTCACTTTTCAGGTTCGAAATTGTCACCTCCCGCGAAACCGTACATCAAGATTTTGGCGGTGGAGGATCTGAAAAACGACACGATAGTGGCGAATATTAAAAAGGAACTCAGTCCGCATATCTTGTTCGGGAAGAAAGAGTGTGCTAAGACGAAGAAGTCGCACGGCGAAGAGGTAGACGTCAAGTTGGAAAAGCCGGAAACGGTGGACGAGGTACCGAAAGAGAGGAAACGGGGACCGAAAGCGGAAAAGCTGTCGATCGAACGAATGAAGCGCTTCTTGTCGATGACTAAAGACTCCATTGGTGATTCGCAGAAGAAGCCGCTGGCTTGCGAGAGAGACATTTCGTTGATTAAGGTCCCCGTGGATACGATTCGGTGCCAGAACTGCGGCGTGCTCTACGAACGGGTCAAACGTAGAGAACACCTATCGCAATGCAAGAAGTTACCCCGGAAAGTGAGGTACGGCTGCACCTCGTGCTCTTTCGTCGACACGAACATCCAAGAAGTACAAAACCACATAAAATTAAATCATAGACGTTAGATCTGTACCGTGTTTGAATAAAGTTCCCTTTTTTCGTAATTTGTGGTAGATAGATGGTGTAGCCCAGTATAGTTTTAGTTGCTGCATGAAGTTACGTTGGGACCAGTCGCTTTTTGATTTTTTTTTATCGTTGCGTTGTTTGTGCTTTCAGATGATTATTATTCAGATCAGGAAAATAAGCAGGGTAAAAAACCGAAAAAATCGTTGCCGTGGGAGAACCTGGATAGTTACGCCTTGAGCGAGCTTTTTATGTGCACCAAATGCACCAAAACGTACCGCCTGAAACATTCCCTGACGCGCCATATTCGTTTCGAGTGTGGAAAAGACCCCACGTACGCCTGTGGGTTCTGTCCGAGGCGGTTCAAGCACAAATACGACTTGAACGTGCACGAGAAAACCAAACACTTGAACCTCGACGTGAAAAAAAAGAAAAGCGAAAGTACCGCTGTTAAAACCTCACCAAAGGAGTAGACTGACGACACGACGTCGTACAACTTTTGAGACTGATTTTAAGTTACTATAGAGCCAGTATTACGTTTATAATTGTAGTTTTTTGTTTAAGAATGTCTTTTTAGTTCCGTAATAAAGATCTCACTTACCCCAGACCGTGTTCTTTCCCCCAGCCGTTCTCAAGTTAGCTCTGTTTTCCTTCTAGGTTGCTTCTTCTGTCCGCAGTGCGACAAGTCGTACCGTCGCACCGACTCGCTCCGCCGCCATTTGCGAAACGAGTGCAATAACAGAGGCCGCTTCAAGTGCCCGATGTGCGAGCGCAATTTCAATCACCGCTTTAACATGAGAAATCATCTCAGAAAGCAGCATTCAGTAACGGTACTACTTGTTTAGTCTTGATGTTGTGGCTGATTGGCGCACTCTAGTCAGGAAATGCAGTACTCGTCATTTTAGGTTTTGCCGGAGAGAAATTCGCGTGTCCGAGGTGTCGGAAACTGTACAAGTACAAACGCAATCTGAACGTCCACATGAAGAACGAGTGCGGACAAGAGCCCAAGTTCAAGTGTCCGCACTGCCACCACCGCTCGCACCGCAGGTTCAACCTGAATCTGCACATCAGGCATAAGCATAAGGGATGCTAACTGTACGTGTACAATAAAATGTTTGTTGAGAGTTGTAGTGTGTTTTTTCTACCTTGGGTACCACCCGACGAAAAATGGAAGTTGGGTCCAAAGAGAAATTGAAGTTTGTTTTTCAGGTGGGGTGGTTTGCCCGAAAAGCGGCAGACATTTCGCGAACCACTACGACTATTGGAAGCACTTACCCCAGAACGTCGGGAAGAGATTTGTGTGCGATTTGTGCTCGAGGAGGTTTCGGCATTTCAGTTATATTCGCAACCACTATCTATTCAAACATGGAAAAGAACTTGTTTTGTAGTCAAGATTTTTTTATTTTAGACGGCATAGGGACACTAAAGGTGTGCGTCGTCACTACTTAACGGAACGAATACAAAACTGATTGTATAAGCGACTGGAAATAAATTTTGACTAAAGTTGTGGGTGTTTCATTTCGTAGTTAGCTATTCGTTTGGCGCAGTCGTGGGTAAAACTGTTTCTTTTTAGGAGGACCGTTTGCTCCCGTCGTCTGTACCCGCTGCAACAAAATCTATAAAAACTTGCGTACGTTGAAAATGCACAGACTCCAGGATTGTGGCAAGGGCAAGGAATTTAAGTGCCTGCAGTGTCCCCGGACCTTTCGCAGAAACTTCCATTTGAAGGACCACATCATGCGAATGCACACAGACTGGTGTACCAAGCTGCAGTTGCACCATCAATAAAGTCACGTTGACCTTGCGCGAGTTCGGTACCACCCGTTTCGGACTAACCCAGCATACTTGCGCTTGTTGTACATATTAAAACTTATCCAACCGACTCTTTTGCTTCTTTTCCCGCCGGCGGCATGCCACTTTTTGTGATTGATCTTTGCTTATTTTAGGCGTGCAGTGCCCCCAGTGCGGCAAAACCTACAAAAACCAAAACTGCCTCAAAGCCCACATCTACCAAGACTGTGGCAAGGCCAAACGGTTTCAGTGCAGTTACTGTTCTTTGCAGTTCAAGCGGCGCCAGCAGCTCAAAACGCACACTTTAGTCCACTTCCGCCGGAAAGACTTCCACCTTTGAATACTTTGTACGTTTGCGAATAAAAGTTTGTTTTGCAGCGTTGTCATTTCTCTGCCGTACCCCGCGCTCCGTGCGTTCTCACGTAGTGACTTTGTTGCTTGTTTTAGATGTGTCTCTCGGTCCTTTGCCTTGCCCGCAATGTAGCAAATGGTACAAAAACCAGCATTGCCTGACTTCGCACATGTCGCAAGACTGCGGAAAGGTTGCAAAGTACCAATGTGCATTCTGTTTCAGTAAATTCAAAAGGAAATACAATCTCAAAACACACATAATCTCTGTACACAAATCCTGACTGTAATAAATAATTCCTCGAAATGTTGTTTGCTCTGAATCTTATCCTTGGTTCTATTATAGGTGGCGCTTCTTGTCCGCAGTGTCAAAACCCACAGACATTGGTACGACGCACCAACGAGTGGGGAACAGAGTATAAGTGTTTCGTTTGTGCCGGTAATTGCTTGCTTGTGCATGCTTCCTCGAGTAAAGTCTCTATTTTCCATGTGCTTGTATTGTAGGTGGCGCGCGCTGCCCCCGCTGTAAGAAATGGTACAAAAACGCTCAGAGTTTGGCAGCTCACCGCTCACAAGATTGCGGCAAGGGTGCTCAGTATCAGTGTTCTGTGTGTTCGGGCAAATTCACACGGAAGTATAGTCTTAAGATGCATCTGTTTTCTGTGCACAAAATTGAATAAATCTTTAACCCGTTCTGGCTTTTACTTTCGTGCTAGATTCACCAAAATCAAGACTAGATGTTGTTTTATGATTCTATTGTAGGTGGAGCCTTTTGTCCGTTGTGTAACAAGTGGTACAAGAACAACGCGACCTTGTCGGTCCACCGGTCGCAGGACTGCGGCAAGGGCCACCGCTTTCTCTGCACCCAGTGCCCGGCCAAGTATAAGAGGAAACACGACTGGAAGGAACATATGCTTAATAAACACTGTTAGTGACCGAACTTGTTTTTATTTCGAAAGTCGTGCGTCTGGACGCGACCGTTTTTGCGTCGCGCCCAGACACTAATACCCTATCGGTGAGTACTACTGTGTGTCCCGGTGTGTCTATTCTCGTAATACCGTGTCGCCTGTCATCCAAAATTTATATTATTTGTGTAGTTTCTATCCAGTCCACTTGTAGGTCGCGTGTTCTGTTTTGGCTGTAACAAATGGTACAAGAACAAAGCCACCTTGAAGACCCACCGCTCCCAGGACTGTGGCAAAGGTCGGCGATTTGAATGCCTAGAATGTTCAGCCTCGTACAGACGCAAACAGCATTTAAAAAACCATGTCCTCAATAAACATTAGCTACTAATCCGTCTTTCCTTTAACACCCCCGACTTCGTACTTCTTCCGCTACCGCATGGTTTCGTTGTAGGTTCGGGTGTGTATTGCACCGGCTGCAACAAGTGGTACAAGAATCAAACCAGTTTAGCGACACACCGATCTCTGGATTGCGGTAAAGGCTACACCTACCAGTGTGCTCAGTGCTCGTCTAAATATAAACGAAAATACGACTTGAAAATGCACATTCTCAATAAACATTCGGCGTAGTGGTTTCATTCTACTTCGTTTCATTGTAGGTCGCGCATTTTGCGATAAGTGTAACAGATGGTACAAGAACTACACGACGTTGGCGACGCACCGA